TTGGCAAGAACGTACCTCGTTGTGTGTTTCGGTTCACAACGGAAATGAAGCGGGAGCCGTCCTGTGCAGCCGATGCGATGCAGACGACGTGTGTGCAGCGCCTGTCCGTGTGGAAGGCCACGTGACCCTTTGTTTCCCACGTGGTGTGTGCATGCTCTCGACGTCGATCGTAGACGCTGACGATAGTGTTGCCCATCCTTGCCGAAGTTTCGGTTTCGTTTTGCGATTTTGCTTCTTTCAAGATTACTCGGAAATTAATTTACTTTTCGGGGAAAAGAGTATGCAGGGTCGTTTACGAGTGCTTTGCAAGGTAACATCATCCACTAACTCCAAATTTTCAAAATTGAGCGGAGTTGCCCTTTAAAGGGGCCCTGCAATCATATTTAAGCATCTACCTTTTTTGCGGTTTCCACGTCTCTTGGGGTTCGGGCAAGCCAGCGGGCACGGAGAGAGTAACTAAATATCAGTGCGTCATATTTTAACCGGACGACGCGGAAACCTCCTCCACCGACGAGGGCGACCCACGGTACCGAAAGCGCGCAAAATGTGACGTCTTTGGTCCTGGGCTTGCCACTGGTCAAAGCCGCTAAGAGCTTTTTTTTAGTCGAGATACAAAATAAAAGTGTCGCGAACCGTTTCAATTATGTATGAAAGTAGTTTTTGTTCACTATTTTAGATCAGAAAAGAAACAAATGCAGTTTAGAAAGTACGGAAACGAGAAATGACCCGTCGACATACCCGCCACCAAGCGGCGGAGAAAAACGGCGCATACTAGAAAAGGCTAGTGGGATGAGGCTACGTCGAACGAGGAGCGTAGAAAGGTCCCGGATGTACGCGGCGGCGCTGTGGTCGTATACCGGCTCATGAATCCGACCGGTTCCGAGCGTTCCGAAGGCCTTCGGCGCGGGCCCTGCTGGCGATTTGGCCATTTGGCGGTGCGTCAGCGCGAAGTGGCTCCCGTTCTGAATTGATCTTTACCCCGTGTTTGCTGTCGTTTGTGGCCAATGAAGTGTTATGCCGAATTAGTGATTAGTCGCGCAGCAAATGCAATGCGAGCTGCCCTGGCCGCCCGCTTCATACAGCGTATCCAACACGTGCTTTAGTGGCGCCCTCTCGAGCCGTCGACACGGAGTGCGGCAGCCGTGTGCGCTCGATGAGCTCACTCAGCTCACTACTCCTCCTCTTGTTCAAGGCCACTCAAGCCAGGACCTACAACGTCATGAAGGAGGTTATTTTTTGCTTGTTTTTGTAATTCTAATTTGCCGATAACTTAAAAATAAAGCGAAATTTGAGAAAAGAAAAGTTGGATTAAGTTACTACGTTCTGTACGCTCAGGCTCAGTGCAAGTTAAAAACCAGTCAAAAAGTCATTGCAGGGCCCCTTTAACTGTCGGCCCTGCCCTACTGCCAGTGTTGCCAGATGGAGAAAAAAAAAAGTCAGCAGATTGATCCCCAAAAAGTCAGTAGATTTGCACAAAAATCAGTAGATTCCACGAAATGTGTGTTTTGCCATATAGTATAGAGTAACAAATAACATGGTAATAAACACAAATAAAAATGAAAGAAAAAAACAAGACCAGTTCTCGAGTAACTTTATATGAAGGACAAATGAAAATGGCACCATAAATGTTTTTGTTTTAGTCATTATTGACTGTTTCGAGGATTATTCTTTGAAATCGAGACTCAGGCACTTTTGGGATCACAGATGAAGGCGACCGTGCGACGTTCGCCTGTCGCTATTATTGAAACGAAACCGAAACAAGACGCTCCGGCAAGTGCGCGCGAACATGTCCAATGGAAGTCCTCTGCATGCTGCCATCTTTCCTTACTGGGCTGTGGAAGGTTTTTGAAGCAACGCTGTTGGTCCGGAGCACTGTTGAGGCTACGCGTCGTCTGCTACCGACTTATTTCTTTTTCGCCTGACCCAAAGTTTGCACTCAAACGTGGAGAAACTTCATTCGTTAGCTTTTTAAGCCACCGAGGAATAGGATTATATCATTTTCTTGCCACAGCCTGCCAAATAAAAGAAAATAACTGAAATTTGGATGTCGATCTCATGCATTCCGCCGAACGAATGCATGAAAATTGCGGCTCTCTCCGCTCAACTCGAAGCTATTCTAGTTCTGGCGCATGCGCAAACACCTCTCGCTCTGCGCCGCGGGCTGATTGGCTCACTCGGGAGAGGGACGTTACGGCGAGATCATAGACTGGCCAAACTCTCTCCATATATGGCTCTGGCCCGGATGTCACCGCCGAACCTGTCCAACCTGCCGAACCTGCTCTGGGTGAATAGAGATGAATATACGGCTACGTCACTCGAATAGGACGGGCTTCTGGGCCATCTAGCCAGTGCTTCGTTTTTAATTCTGGGACATTATGAGTTTCCTTTGATGGGCGACACTGGGAACTGAAGGGGCCATATAATAAATTTTTAATATGTTCACTAAAAAAAAGTCAGTAGATTTTCTTGTTTTTCAGTGACTCAGTAGACCCGGAACAAAATCAGTAGATCTACTGATAAATCAGTAGACCTGGCAACACTGCCTACTGCGCACGCGCAGTAGTTGCTTCGTTTACCACACGATAGATGGCGCTTGGCTCTCAGCATTATCAAATTTGGCAATTTTCGCCACACATCTCTAATTATGCTACAAAATGTGGATCTGAATATTATTTAACAAAACTTTTAGGACACATTCGCCGGCTATTTATTGTTTACGATCGCGGTGCTGGTGATGTAGGCTCTTACCCAATAGGCGACCTGGATTTGGCTGACGTGCTCCATTTCCGCGGATGCATCGTAGTGAACAGGCGAAGGAAGGAAGGCGCAAAAGAGTCCAGCTTTCTTTTAAAAGTTCAATAGCAAATAATTTTTTTTGGCTCCCTATTTTTGTGTTTCTTTTCACACCTTTTACGACGTGCGGTGGATGAAATTCGATTTTAAAATCATTTCATGGTCCCTTTAAACCATACAAAACGGCCCGTGACCACGGAGAAGAGAGTGAGCGCGACTCAAACCGGCCAGTTCTCGATCGGCGGTTTTCAGGCGGAAGGAAAACAAATTTCGAGCCGCAAATTGTGTTCTGGGTAGTTGGGCTCGTATATGTCATGTACAAATAAAAACCTTGGTGGGCATAAATGCCCTGTCAGTTTTGTTGGAGCCCAGCTGCAACGGCTCCAACAAAACGGGGTAAAAACCGGTTTTGCTGCAGCCGACGTAGCTGTTGCCATAGCAACCGTCACACTCAACGCAAGTGTGTGAATCGCCCTTTATGGTGCATAGATCGAACCCCGAGCCATAAAAATACCATCTCAAGATCTCTCTTAGTACTCCTTTAACTGATGTAGTTCGCCCAGCGTGCAGCTTTCTCGACTGTTGTGTCGTCCGCTGGATGCTTTCACTCTTTCGTTTGCGTAGCAGTGTTATCCTGCATGCATGAATGGAAGATGCACATAAGGCATGACATGGCATGTTTTGTACATGAAATGTTATTAGCAGAGATTATATGAAACTCTGAAGGGAACGATTGATACCAACTTTGTTGTTTTCCTTCAGAATGTTTAATAACAACTCAAATTCTGTGAAGTAGCTTACTACATTTAAGGTGTGCATGAAAGCACCATCTAACTTCCATAATTTTTTTTTCTTTTTTCGAACACTCATGTGGTTGCAAGCCAGGTATATATGGGAATTGTCAGAAACGGAACTGGCTACGTTCTATAAAATAAGAGATTTATGCCATTGTTTGATTGATTGGGGGTTGATGGCACATCAGCATCTAAGGCTATAATGTGCGATAAGAGATTTATATCATATGCAACAAAAAGTTTAACTAAAAGTTAAACTCAAATATTTGGAGAAGCTGTCCTTGGGCTATTCGTCTGCGAGATCCAAAACAAGCCAAAGCCACCTATTAACAATGCAAACTTGTGCACATAGACTGAGCAATGGTATGAAAGGTCACTGCAGCTAGTCTGTCACAGGTTTCATCACAGTATGACCGCCACCAGGACTCTGGGCCGGCTTGCTCATAACAAATGATTCTTACTCATTTTACCTGAGACGTGAAGCAGAGGTGCAACAAATGCTAGCGCATGAGTAGATAGAGAATGCAGCTTCCAAGAGCTTTACCGCCGAATTCAGAAACCTCACTCAAACTACACTCAAACTGAAGGGCCCCTCCACTTCCTCAATGAAGGCGCGAGGGCCAGCGCTGGCCAATCGCGAGGACGGATCCGCCGTCGCGATTGGCCAGCGCCGGCCCTCGCGCCTTCCTCGAGGAAGTGGAGGGGCCCTTCAGTTTGAGTGTAGTTTGAGTGAGGTTTCTGAATTCGGCGGTTAGAGCCTTAGCAATAATTTCTTTTGGACGAGGAGATCGAGTACAAGCAAGCTTGTACCAGTTTATTTCAAAGCTGGCTTTTGAAAATCTTGAGAAGCTTGTTCAAATGCCCTATAGTGTGTAAGATGAAAGTAAAATGATTGCATTCATGCCAGTCTCTTAGACGTATGGTCCAGTAGTATTATGCATAAAACATCTACTATAAAGGTGTCCGACTGCACATACATTTTACCAATGTATACATGTAAACAATACAACAGAAATAGTGATGGTTGGCAAGTTATTTCTGATATACCTGTGCACTGTGATAAATAGTAGCTAAACATCAAGCTAATAAAAACCCAAAGTCCATCTGTTTGAAATTTGAAATGAGAGATGTATGGTCACACAACACAAAAGAAATGGACGCGCCACCAAATATAACTGCATACGTCTGCCTGTTCCAAAAAACCTAAGGTGTGGGACTCAGAAAATAGTAGGGAACAAACATGCCCCGGATTTGTGTGTCCTCTGCTCGCGTTCCTTAGTCGCTCAAGCTTTTAGAAGTGCTGGCACCAAACCCGCTTGTATCGGGTCGTCTCGGCCAAGACAAACTTCATCTGAGAAATTGGTATGAAGGAAACAAGGTTAAAGAAACACAACTGCAGCAGCAAACCAACGATTGCCAGCATTGAAACAGGACAAGTCTCTCGCAATATCTTTTTATTAATAAAAAGAAAAGGTCCTAAAAAAAAAGACTGGCAGTGTCCCAGCTTGTTAACAATAGATTCACGTAATGCTATGAACAAAACGAACACAGTTGAGGCCAGAGGCCTAATAGGAAGGCTTGAGTTGACTCGACATCAGGATGAGGCTAGAAGAAGCAGGCAGCTCCGATCTCGAGACCAAACTCCTGCCCCTTGAAGCCAATGTCTCTGGGTGCAACGTCCACAATGGGCAGACGTTGTGGCTTCTCCGATTTGTACTGCAGTGTGCTGGAGCTCCACTCGTCCTGGCGCGTCTGCGGAATGATGGGTCCGTATGCCCAGAGTCAGAACAGGAATGCACAGGCAGAGGCTGGTCACAAGCAGCATACAGGTGCATGTCAATCAACTTGATACGCAGAAATCAAAATCAAACTCAAAGTTGTCCAATTCACACTTTTACAGTTGAATGGGGCATCAATGATAGCATATGGTCCGGCCTGGCATGAAGAAGGCAAATGAGAAGTGCAATACATGCTCCTCGATTCCCACTCAATCTATTCAAGTCTCACTGCACCTGCCAAGCAGTGCAAGAGGCTGCAATGCACACAAATGTTTATAATTAAATTTGGTAGCAGGATACAGCAATGCCTGGCTGTTTAAGATGTAGGTATGTCTTGAGATGCCAAAAGGTTTATGAAATAAGAAGGATTGTGCAAATATTTGCATAGTAGTTTTGAATAAACAGCTATTCAATATCTACTCATTCTGAGATGAACTGTGACATTCATATTTTTCTAAGTGTTGATCGCGGTGGGTTAGGGGCTAACCCACTGCGATAAACGCTTAAAAAAATATGAATACAGTCGACTCTCATTAATTCAAATTCTCTTAATTCAAACTTGCTGATAATTCAAACTAACATGCAGGCCTATCCTATGCCTATCTATGGGAGGAGATTCCCAGTAATTCAAACTTTGCTTTATTGAAAGAAATTTTCAGTCCCCCTCGAGTTTGAATTAACGAGTCAACCGTATTGAGCCGGGTGTCTAGCAAGTTATCATTTTGAAATTCCCTGACTTTTCCAGGTTTTTCCTGACAAATTCAGGTGAAATTACCTGTCCACTGTAGAGGCGGTTAAATATATAGGACCATTAGAACACAAAGCATTGAGCACTGTGAGGATCATTTTGCACGGGCTTAATCAAACTTGCATATTCTGAAATGTGCGAGTTCGTCCAGTCCGGACTAAACAAGCACTTTCTTGCCGCCGACATCGTCAGTGAAGGGCCAGTTCAGGAAACACGATGAAAACATGATGCTCAACCACATACGTCAATAGCCGAATGGCAGCGTGGTTACAGCCTTTTCCATTTGTTACTAAATCCAATAACCCTCAATCCAATCCAAGGCTTGAAGTGGATTTGTCGGCTGTTCCCTTTGTATCGGGCAGCACACTCCACATCCGGTGAGCAGAGCTCATGCTCTACTCTAAGCAGAATTTGTTGCCCATTTTTCTGCCCCTAAGTTCTCAAGCCTTTGCTCAGGGCACTCGATGGCGTTTCTTGCTCATTTTCCCTGACTAGGCTCACTTTTTGACAATATCCCAGACAATTCCCGGTTTTCCCGGTCACTAGAAACCCTGATTGAGTGTACTTCATTGAGTGCCAGTGCACTACGGAGAAGCAACAGCTGCAAAGCTTGCTTCTGCAGGTGCTGCTTCTTCGCAATGCACCAGCGCTCCATAAGAAGCGTGCTCAATGGGGCCAACCTGCCACTATCAACACTTCGAAAATTATGAATATTGCAGTCGCCTGTTTAGGAGAAAAGCACACTTTCAAAGCAAGATGATAAAGGCATGCTCCACAGGTATTTTACTGCAATATAATACTTACATCGCGGTAAAAGAAAAAATTAAGCTGGCTATTATGTAAAAGAATCTGTTTGGCAGAGATGCCCTGACAACTGCATTAATCTTTCATTACCAACTTTTTTTGTCAAATTCGAGATTGAAGAAAGGTTATTTGTATGTAGCAAAGAGATTTATAAATCCGCTCTATGAAGTATAGCTGGGCATTTCTATAATGCCAAATGCATGGTTTACTTGCCATCCCAATGTATGCATTGGACTTCTTGAGGTCACATTCCGTGAATATACTAGGTAGATTAAAATTAACATTGTTTAGAAATGAACAAGTGGAAGCCTTAGAACATTCTTCATGAATTCTGCTGGATTGTTGTTTAATAGTAAAAGGCTTAAAGGAACTATTTTAGCATATTTGATTCGAAAAGTTTCGTCCAAAACCACTATTTGCTTCGAACTCAAAATCTACCATTCACACAAAGCTAGGAATACATTTTTGAGACAATGGCTTTTTTGAATTGCTATATGTACATCAAATTACCTCACTAAAAAATATTACCACCCTATATAACCTATAAACATAAAAAACACTTCAGTAGTCCCTCTTCTACAAACATTAAATAAAAAGAGCAAGCGCCTTATTTCTCTCGGTTGCAAAGTTTTTCAACATTGACAAGGTCTTACGGGTGTTCTCTGATGTTCATCTTGGGCAGATATTAACAACTTGGGTGTTAATTTAATTAGGAAGAATGGAGCTGTGAGGTGGTGCTGGTTTTATAGTTTTCCAGTTTGAGTTAAGGACCATTTGCAGGCCCGTGCAAGCGCGCGCATTGGGGGCTCTCGAAGGGATGATCTTCTCTGGGCTTCACCGTTCCCTTGACCCGATTCCAACAGGAGTCTGGCAGCGTCGGCTCCGGGCGCCGTGAGGAGCATCGTAACTTAAACGCTGCTCCTGCTGCTACCTGCCTGCGTCGGTGCATTGGCGTCGGAAGCACCACTCTGCCCTCCGTCACCCGTTTGTTCCGTTTACAGTCGCCGACCTATTTTTCGGACGCCGAAATTTCGGACATGCCTGATTATTCTGACCATTTTCATGGAACCGTCACTCGCCCCATAGAGTTAATGTATAAAAGTGACTGAAATTCCGGACAACCCACAACTTGTCCTTCGATTTTCCGGACTGATTTGCGGCCGCCAAACCGCCACCACTTGCACTTTACACTTACTTCCCTTTGTAGCCGCTCTCACCGTGAACCGAGGAGCCGACATCTTTATTTTGCATGTAGCCTTGACACCGCATTCTTTGCATTCTATGCGACACCGAAACACAAACTGGATTGAGGCTACAGTCGTATTTTTCGTGCCCGCGCCGCCCACGCTCTTTCGTTTCGCACTTTCGTTTCATGCTGCGCATCGAAGTCGGTCGCAGTCACGGTCGGGTCGTCGGGTCGTGGTGTCATGTTCGTCAACGTCCGAGAGCGACGACGTTGTCCGCCGCCGTTGTAAGTGCGCGTGCCTTCTGCCGTTTCCCCCCAAGCGGTGTCAAATGGTGCCAACTGCATCTTCAACTGCGTCAATGGCGCCGACGAAGACTCCAACGAAACGCGGGAGATACTCTACAATGACAATTGAAAAGAAAGCTGCCATCATCAGGCAATTGGAATCTGGCCGCAGCCAAGCGCAAGTCGCAAGGCAATTCAAGATTTCCAAGCAAACAATCTCTGATTACGTCCGAAACAAGACAAAGATAAAGAAGGCCGCGGAAAAATCGACCGGATCTCGACAGAAGAATGTCAGCAAGGGCAGCTACCCGAAGCTCGAGGAGGCCCTTCACACATGGCTCAATGCCACAGTAGCCAAGCGGGTTCCGGTGTCCGGTGATCTTTTGAAGCGAAAAGTAGAGACCCTTGCGCTTCAAATGAAGATCACGAATTTCAAATTCAGTGATGGCTGGTTCCGGAATTTCGAGAAAAGATACGACCTTGCATTTAAGAAAATGTGCGGCGAAAATGGTGCCATTGACAGTACAATCGTCACAAACTACAGCGCTGAAAGACTGAACGCATTGCTGCGCGAGTATTCGCCAGACGACACATTTAACTGTGACGAAACCGGGTTGTTCGATAAGATGTTCCCTCAAAAGACGCTTGCCCTGTCTGGTGATCCTTGCCACGGCGGAAAACGTAGCACGGAGCGAGTGACTGTTATGGGGGGCAGCAACATGCCGGCACCGAGAAGCTTCCGATTCTGGTGATTGGCAAATCTAAAAACCTGAGGTGCTTCAAGGGGATCTTTGCCAGTTTTGTATGAAGCGAACAAGAAAGCTTGGGTCACCCAACAGCTCTTTGAAGGCTACGTACGCAAGCTGGACCGCAAGTTTGAATTGCCAAAGCGCAAAGTTTTGCTCTTGTTGACAACTGCGCTGCGCACGGGCACATCTCCAACCTGAAGTCCATTCAGTTGGAGTTTCTACCAGCAAACACAACGAGCATCCTTCAGCCGATGGACCAAGGTGTAATCCGAAATCTGAAGGTCCACTACAGGGCACGCCTGCTCGGACGTATGGTGCTGTGCCTGGACAGTGGCAAGACATACTCGGTGGATTTACTGTCAGCTATCGATATGCTGTCAGATGCATGGAAGGCGGTAACGCCTGACACCCTTCGCAACTGTTTCTGCCACACGGGATTCGCTCTTGATAGTGAGTCGGCCGTCGAAACCGAAGACCCCGTGCCAGATGCACAGTCTATCAGCACAGAGAACTTGATTGCCGATCTGCGCGATGGTGGTCATGCAGTTCCCCCTGCCGTGACATTTGACAAGTTCACGGACATGGACAGTGTGCTCGACGTGTGTGCTGACTTGACGGACGAAGAGATCGTTCGCCAGGTCTTCGAGCGAGACAGCGAATCTGACTCCGAGGACAACGCGCCGGCCATTGTACGGCCGTCCAACGCGGAACTCACCCAAGCGCTTATGGTACTTTCGTCTGTATTCAGTGACAGAACGACTCTCGCTGAAATGCAAAACGATCTATCGCCCAAAGGCGAAACACCGCCCAGCAAACCATCAACCGGTTACTCGAGCCACTTGGTATGTAAAGTGCCAATAAAGGCATTTTTTTGGCAGATTTCACTTTTTCGGACTGCGTGATTATTCGGACGTTTGCCCGATCCCCGTCGAGTCCGAAATATCGGTCGGTGACTGTACTTGTTTGACGTTTCCCCAGTTAGCGATTTGCCTTGGTGGAGAAGGGGGGGGGAATGCAAGGGTTTCTGTGCACCTCCGTGTAGGCTTGTGTGCTTTTGGCACTTGGCCTTCGTAATCAGCATGGTTGGTCGCCGATACACTTCCAGTACTGTAAACCATTAAATTTTCAAGAGGACCTAATTTTCGCGAATTGCCTACCATTCGCGAAAAATATGCCCCGCGAACAATTCGGGCAATATGTGAAAGCTACGGAAGCTACACTCGATTCGTGAAAACTAGAACCCGCAAATAGTTCAAATTTTCAGCTTTAGCCTGATTCACGAAAATTAGAGACTGTGAAAATTAAGTCGTTTACAGTAATCCAATTCAAAATGCACACACCTCGGTCGGGACCACGTTGAACTTCGATCAAAGTGATAATCAAAAAAACCATTTCGTTATAAGAAGGAATTATTGTCTAAGCTTTATATGAGAACTTTACAACGTTTATGGATTTAGTAAGCACCCGAATTCTCGCATTCGGAAGCATGCACACTTCACAAAAACTTGCAGACTAGGTTGATGCGAAGGAAGGGAATGGGAAGGGTTCTTCGGTGGAGCAGTCTTTCAAGACAACTAGGTAGTGGTTTTCACGATTAACCCCTTGATGGCTTAAGGGCTACAGGTAATCTTCCATTTTGTGGTTTTAGAGAAGTCCATTTTTATTTGTATCTTAGTTTCAGTGATGGAAGTGCCATTTGACTTTTCATAGCAGGTTTTGTAGCAGATAAAATACAGTAGAACTTTGTTGATATGTTCTTGGTCGATACATTTTCCCGGCTGTTACGTTAAAAAACGCCGGTCCTGTTTTATTTACATAGAGACACATGTATTAGTTTCCTGCCTATTACGTTTGCTTTCTTGGTTGTTATGTCCAAACGTGTTGGCGCCAGGCTGCCACGCTGGCTCCGATGCGAAGCTAGTGGAGCAAAGCCAAACCATGCAATGCAGGTCGCACGGCACACGTGGGCACGCAGACGCCAGTCTTCCCTTTACTCCTTTCCCCCTCTTTTCCGTTTTTCCTTGCTGTGCTTTGCTGAGCCTTGCCACAGCTTCCAGTCTCGCCCGGGTGTGACCTTGGAGCACTGCTCAGATGGGGAGCGAGGCTGGCGAGGTGGCAAACGCTCTTTCCTTCTTGCTCTCTCTTTCATCTGCCCTTCTCTTTCTCTGGCAAGAGGTGCACCCACATGTACGCTGCGCTTCTAGTTTCTGTTCTGCTCAATTGCGTGAATCATGGCGTTTCGGAGTATGTGCGCTTTGCACCCATTGACAACGCTCATGGCATCGCGAAAAAGAAAGGAACTACCTCTTAAAAAGAAATTTGATACACTTCAGATGGTGGATCGCAATCCCCGCCGGAAGAGATCTGACATCGCAAGAAATTTCGGAATCGCGCCATCAACTTTCGACAGCATCGTCACTAAACGAAAGGAGATCGAGGCGAAAGCTTCTTTAATGCGTTGCTTGATGACAACGTCGTTACCTCTGAACCGCAGAGCATAGCAGACATCGTGACCGACCTTACTACTGCCGACAACAAAGAAAGTGAAGTACATTGCCCTGAACTTTTCTGCAGCGTACCACACTTCCATGCACTTGTGCAGGCTGTTGTGGGTAAGTCGAACGAGCCAAGTAAATATGCGATCAGACGAGCTATAGTGATTATGCGATCCCATTACATCACATGACCCCTCCTGACATTGGGGCGACGAATGTTTTGCGGCCATAAGGGATAGACTGTGTTTTGCAGAGACACCTAGTGGGTACCAAAGGAGATTTTGGGGCGTTGGGGCCTTTTCGTAACAACTTTTCGTGATGCTCTATACCAGTGTTTCTCAAATGGGGGTCCGCGAAGGCATGAAATGTTCCAATTTTTGAGTGACTTTTCTCATGTATGTATCAATAAGAGAAGTCTATTGCACACTAGCCTTTTGTTATATTCATTTATTGAACCATTATCATATTTAACCTACAACTTTCCCTTCCCCTCACCATGAACGGGGTCCTCCGTCATCTCCACTAGTCCAAAAGGGGTTTGTGAAAACCGAACAGTTGAGAACCACTGCTCAATACTGTAAACAACTTCATTTTTGTGGCCTCGGTATTTCAGAAATTTCGCAAACTGTCGATGTCAGGAATATTCCGTGGGCACAAAATTTTGCAATTGGGAGTAGCATGCCACTTATTCATTATCGCAAAATGATTTGCTCGGCGACCCATTTTTCGGCATATTTTCAAAGTCGCGAGATTCACATAAACAAAGTCGTTTACCGTGCTCGGACGCGAGTCCCGAAAGGACAGCACTTGCCTGGCAGCCGTCGTGCAGGGCGGCATAGGTGAAGGCCGGGTTGGTCTCCCTGTCCGGTACGGGGGCGCTCAGCTCGAGGTCGTTGTAGGCCATGAGCTTGAGGGCCCGGCGGTGGCTCTTCTTGGCCGCGTCGTAGAAGGCCACCGAGCCGCGGCACAGGTAGGTCACGTTCTGCACCGCCGACGTGCTCAGCATCTGCAGGAAGGTCAGCTGCACCCGGTCGATCTTGTACGTCAGCTGCAAGTTCCGGGGAGAGGAGTGAGAGCCCAATTAAGACTCTGGATATAGAACGAAGAAGGCACTGGTTCGACGGAGAGCGCCGTGCTGTGCAGAATTTTTGCAACTCTGACCGCACCCGTGGCCGCGATCGTTGGACCCAATCTCGGGCTTCCAAGTTCCCTGCCGAACCGTGACGCAGTGCTCGTGTGTCAAATCGCGAATTTCGTTGGACCGAAGTCTTCATTTATTAGCATTGCAATTAATCTCCCAGGTTCTCAAAACCCTCCAATAGCCTCAGATCGTGCAGGGAAGCATTCACAAACAAGACTTCACCACAAACTGCAACGGTAACACAAGAGTGAAGTTTAACGACCCTCATTCCGTATGGTTGTGGAAACAGTGCCTAGCACTGCAGGAGAGCGTGCAGTCAAGGAAGCAAACCAAAAGCCTTGCACCGGTGCAACGTGGGCTGTGCCTAGTGCTCATAGGCACAACATGAGCCTCTCCTACGAGCACTAAGCGCGACTATGAGACTAGGCGCGACATGGGCCGTGCCTAGTGCTCGACCAAACTTTCCTTTTGTGCGTTGCGCTACTCATTGTTCCAAGTAAAGCAGAATCACTTGGAGCACAACACTTGAGGACCGAAAATATTTGTGACGTTGCAGACGCTTCGCACGTTAGTTGGCCGATGCTTATGGGGGACTCCCTCTTCTCTTCTTGTAAAAGCTTTTTTTCGTCATTATCATCATTACATGTGCATACTTTTTTACTAGGTAAAAAAATAACACGTTCAGTTTTAGGCGATAAAATATATTTAGGTTAAATATTTTGTGTTTGTTTCTCACGGAGGCTCCCAATATGCGGACATGTGACTTACGAAAACTTTGTTAAATCGAAACTGCAGCGCAAAAGTACTCAGCTAGATTGAAAGAACAAATACTACATGGTCTTCAATGGAAGTAAGATAGGAAGACAAAAAAATTGCGTTAAACCGCAAATTTCAGTAAATCGGTGTTTGGTAGGTCGAGGTTCAACTGTATACCCTTTGTTCAATCTCGAATTAGAAAAACAAAAGACAATACTGAATGATTAATGCAAGTTGTCAGGGCATCTCTGCCCTGACAACCTGCCTTAAACTGTGGCATAATAGCCACAGTTTAATCTTTAAAATTGTACTGCGATGTAGCTGTCAATATTCACAAAGTCTCCGTTTCTTTTTAAATACACCAATAGTGCGCATGTACCATGCTCCTTTGAAAGTGTGCTTTCCTCCTCAGCTTGCGACTTTGATACTATTTATATTTTTCCAAGTGTTGATTGTGGCTGGAAAGCCCCACTGAGCACCCTTCGTAAAATATGAATACAGTCTCAGCTCAATACAACAGACCTGGTTACAACAGACATTTGGATATAACATGCCGATTTGTGAAACCCGGTTGGTTTTCCTCAACATGCCATTGACTCAACTTCATATCTGCATACAACATACTTCTTTTACAGCAGACCAAAATTTTGGTCAACATCAAGGTCTGTTATAACAAGCTTAGACTGTAGTAGCGCAGCTCACCTTGAAGCCAATATCAAATAGCATATTATTATAAACTGCGACAATTCGAAAATTCAAATACAGTAAAATCTCGATAATACGAATCCTGCAGGGTTGCAGAAAACATTCATATACAGTTGAACCTCGATGTAACGAAGTCGGTAAAATTCGCAATTTACTTCGTTACATTGAAATTTCGCTAAATCAAAATTTGGCTTTAGCATGCGAAAAAAAAAATTCAGAAACATTTTACGGGTATGAAAACTCACCAAAAATGACATTTATTTAGGGGCAAAGTAGTCCGCGAGTTTTGCTTGCGCCTTGTCCGACAGTAGCAGCGGCGTCGGCGGCGTCACACGGCGTTCGAGCGCCCAAAGCGCTTGCACGGCATCTTGCTGCCCATGCGACGCCGTGTACCTCCTCAGTACGTCCATTCCGTTGAGCACTTCCCGAGTGCTCGTGATCTCGGCAGTTTCTTCCGGATGGCGTCCAAAACGTTTGCTTTCTCATCCAAAGAAAGAACTTTACATTTCCTTATGGCAGCAAGCACGTAAGTGAACCGCCGGTTAAAAAATAAAGCTGTTTAGTTTAGGCGGTGCCAATGCTTCCAACCTACACAGCACTCTTGACCGCACAGTTTACTTGCCCCCTTGCGCCCACAGTGTGCTTGCGCCTTTGCTTTACATCACGCTCGCAAGACGATAATCAGTCTTTTCGGTCTTCTCCTAGATGGCACTGCCCGTGCGGTCGCGCGGTCGCGCCATCACGTCGCTCCCCCGCTGAAGTTGGCTCCCGCGCTACCCGCGGTACAGTGGACTATGATGATCAGTGAATGTCAGTGGTGATGCTGTTATGCCGTGTTAACTTTTTGCTCGGCATTTTCTGGCCAGCCTCGTGGAATCCGCTTTGCCGCATGCCTCGCCGGCGCTACCGGCGCCGCATCCTCGGGCAGCCTAGGAACGTTGGAAGGCCTGTCCCCGTGAAGTAACCTATCAAGCGCTCGCGTTTGCGCATAATTTTTTTTTTTTTAACCACAATTTTTTTGCGAAGTTGTTTTTTAGAGTTGATTTGTTTATTGCCTTCTATGGCAATGGCACTTCGTTATATTGGAATTGCAGCAAAATAGACTTCGTTATATAGGGACTAAAAATACATGGGGTCTATGGGCAAGAAATTATGAAAAATAAAATACTTCGTTAAATCGAGGATTTCGTTACATTGAAGTTCGTTATATCGAGGTTCGACTGTAATCCGAAATTCCTTAGATCCAATAAATCAAATAAGTATACCAGAGCAAGGGGAAGCACACTTGCCATTTATTTGCCCTAGGTACTGTCAAAGAAGATGTTTGTTTGCATATTTTTACTCCAGATAACCGAGCAGACTGTTAGAACATAAAAACGCGGAAGGTCGTCGCTTTTGCTCTCAGCAGCTAGCCGTCAATGTTGACAGAAGTCGTGACTTCTTCAAGCCATGTCAAATTAACTTCTTCAAGCTTCCTGTACTCCGGTGTCTCGGCTTGCTTCACATTCACGCTAAAATGTTGCACGCTCTTCATAATCAGATTACGTTGACCGACGATGAAGCATAGCATTGAAGGCACAAGGACAAACTCTGTCGCCAGGTGAGCACATTTTCTTTCGTCTTTTCGTCAAGCTTCCTGAGAACCGCGAGCTTTCCCTTGATTGAAAGTGTGTTTTGCTTGCGAGACGTTGACTCTTCGATCACAACACGTTTGAGATTTGACGCCGATCGTGCGCGCCTCCAAGCTTTAAAAGAAAAAAAACACAAACGGCGAACGTGCACCCGCACGTGACCGAAGCTGATTTTGAATGTTGCGGCCCCTGTTCACTTGGAGCAGATGCAGGTTACTTTGGTAGGTTTACCACATGACAAAGCGAATAGAGCAGCAATGCTAGATGCGCGTAAGTTTTCAGATTTTTTGAACGCCAAACTACAAAATCTTTTATACGTTGCGAGTTTTGTCACGTGATAACACTGTCAAAATTAACGTTGCCGGAGTTTTGGAATGCGCCCATGGTTTGTGTATACGTGTGTCCACAAGATTAGCGCTGGTGCGATTCCCAGGTTTGGTCGTATGATCCGACAAAGTCAAACTTGGGGGTTTTACGTGCCAAACCAACGACGGGCATCTGGCACGCCCCAGCGGAGGACCGAGGATCAATTTCGACCACCTGGGGATCTTTAGACGTGCAACCGAAATCTCGATTACACGGCGCCTTCTCCGCAATGAGCCTCCGTCAGATTGCGGGCACCTCGGCCGGATTCGAATCCGTAGGCCGGCGCTCTCGCCTTAGAGCCACCGAGGCAGCTCGTATGATCCGATACGACCCGAGATAACATATATGCTATCCCGAAACTTAACACATTAAACTTAAGAGACTTTGGCCGTATTATCCTGGATTTCGTACTTTCCCAAAATTTGTATGAATCGTGATCGCATCATCGAGATTCTACTGTATTTGCACAATCCTAGTACGTGCATGTCTAAAATCCAAGACGCGCTTAATTTTACAACCCCCTTTCAACTCTAGAAAGTATAGATGTAAGAAAAAGGAACAAATAGGGTGGCGAAAGCTTTGTCAAATTCATCAACCAGCTTGGCAAACCTTTCGCAAGGCGTAATCCGGAAACTCTGTGCTCAATTATCAATCCTGTAAGAGCTTGAGCCACCTCTCGTTTGAAAGGACGAGCAAAAAGGCAACAATGTTGGCATTTCAACCAACCTGGAATCCTCCAGGCATTTCACTGAACCAGGTATGCTTGCCGCGTCCAAGGTAGTGGGCCTTCTTGGGAACCTACGGCAAGGCAAGCAAGAACGAGGAAGGAGTCAAGTGGCCCCGTCAGGCTGCTGGACTCTCCCGTGGGAGTGGGAGAGGCCAGCAAGGTTCCATGGGGTACCTTGTCGGGGGAAGGTGTGATGCAGGAGGCCTTGTTGGCCATGTCGCAGTGAACCTGGATGGCGTCCTTGACATCTCCTTCGTTCGGGTCGATCCAATAGGTGCCTGAAGAGGAGGTTACAAAGTCACAAGTGGAGCTGCTACTCTGACCACTCTCTCATTCTCGGTACCTAAACATTTCGCAAGTTTTGGCATAGGTAGTTATTCAGCAAGAGAAGCCTTAGGTCCTCTTCACATATGTAGGGGGCGTGCCCCCCCCAAAAATTTACAGGTTCCTTTTTACTGCAAAAATAAACTACCGTATTTCCCAGTGTATAAGTTGGGTTGTCTTTCAAACATTTTTTTTGGTGCGTTTTATACAATGATCCGACTTCTATGCGTTTCTTTTCTTTAAATTCACGGTGCGACACCATTTTTTTTATGTGCCACGCGCCATCTTTTGTAGAGCACAGTAACTAATAGCGAGTTCGTTTCACACGCACTGGCGCCGTTCGAGTTCTCTCCCAGAATGCATCGCACTCGCAGAGTGTTGCACGGAGAACTGGACTCAAACGAACACGCCAAATGCACCGAGTGCAGAAGACTGATGCTGCCGCCATCTGTGTTGTAGAAAAGGTACCGACCTCAAACCGAAACTAGTGCCGTTCTGTTCTAAGTTATGGGTGCGAATGCGAGGGTGCAGTCGCTACCAACGTTTATCTACAAACTTGGTCGCTGCAAACTGTAGTTTATAAATGCAATGACTTCAAGCAACTCGGCTGTCGTAGAGATAATTACAGACGGCGTAAATTTCTGCAACCAGCTCTCTACAAAGCAGCTGGTTGCGACCTTTCAGTTCTTATAACCGTTTACACTGAAGAAAACTGATGATGCTGTCCGAACTGAAGCAGTATGGCTTAAAACTAGTCTGTTGGAATATCCAGCGAAACTTTTTGCGGGGCTTTCGATTTCGGTCGTCATTACAGGTGGATCAGATATTAGCCTTGGTGGGGACGTCGAGAACCAGAGATTTATCGAACAAAATACGACGGGGCAAGTTAGCTGACGTAAGTAAATGTTAAACATGATGATGTTGCCTAAGCCTCGGGTAAAGTCACTACAGCTTTCTTTGATGCTTATTGGGCAATCAGAGGTTTCTGCTGGGGGAGTTTTGTCGACAAATGTTTAATTTTTCACCCGCACACGGATAATGATAAACATCTCGGGGGCCGCTGATGTGTTTGTTCTGAGCATTTCTTTACACACTGGTATATTTCAGCGTTTGTACGGCCACAGAGCGACTTAAAGCCTCCAAATAAAGCACAGTTTGTCAATTGCTTCCTTCATGAAATAGCAGACGCTCACAACTCAAGCTCGCGTTTGGTTCCATTGCCCGCGGGGCGCGATTTCTATTAGAAACTCTACTTTTTTTTCCTTTCGGTTCCGCAACACATCGTAGCAGACAAACCCTCGTCATCTGCTACCGCTCCTCGCCGGCCTCTCCAGAGCGAGGCATGACGGGATTGCATTTTGGCGCACTCTCGATTTTCTCGGTGCAGCGATTGCATGCACGCGTAGGGTGTCAGCGATGAAACAAACTCGGAGAGTGCAACCACTCGTGGAGTGCCGGCCGAAACGAACCCGCTCGGCGCTGCGAGCGGGCACGCGTGGGCACGAGTGCCGTGAAACGAACTCGCTATAAGTAGCACTATGTGGTGTTGCCCTTGACAGGAGGCACTGCTGTCGCCGCACTCTTCTACCTCTTCCACTCTTTTCATAATTGGCTCGGAAAGCGAGAAATTTTATAGCTTTCCCGAAGCGGCTCAATAAGCATAGGAAAGACAGTGAGAATAAGGCTTTTACAGCATGTGATCGACGTTGCCTAATTCCAGCCATGGTTTCGTATTCGTTTGCTTCAGTCCAGTAACACTAAAAGGTAGGTGGACTGCTATATTGCCGCGCCCAGGGCTGAGAAAGCAACGCTCGGTCACGGACTTCCAAAAAGTTCTCGTTTATTCATGTACCGCTCGTAACTTCTATCATTTATTCCTGCTTTTGTTTTCTAGAAAGTGCGTGTTCATTCTCGCCCGATCACGCGACGCTCGAGCCGCTTTCGCCGAATCTTCGAGATAGCGACGCACTCTAGATAAGAGGCCGCCCGCGATCTTGTCGGGTCAGTTTTCGCCCCAGCGTTCGACTCTGCTGACACGCCGACTTCGACGCCCGCGACGCTCTGCTTTCTTCTGTTTCCTTCTTTATTTTTGGCACAAGTTCGCCACATTAAACGTTTATTTATTTCTGTTCATTTCTTGTTTATTCGTCACGACCCGTGACATTCTGGTGGAGGTGCGGGGTAATCACATGTCCGTACGGCGCAGCCCTCCAAGTTCCCGCAGTACAAGTCCAAACCCCAGCTGGAGGACCCGACGAAGACCAGATCGAGACCCGGTCAAGCCGCCGCATCCGAGGTCTACCCCCGGAACACGGACTTCTGCCACCCACGACCAACCCGAAGACGACGATGGCCAACCAGGTGCAGACCCCGGCCGCTTCTGCCGTTGTGTACCTGCCGGTCGCACCCAGGACTCCAACGCCTTTCCACGGAGACGTCCACGAGGACGTTGAAGACTGGCTGCAACACTACGAACGTGTAGCCCGCCACAACGGATGGACGACTGAACAATGCCTCCACAATCTCTACTTCGCGCTTGAAGGAACTGCGAGGCATTGGTTTGAAAACCACGAAGCGTCCTTCACTACGTGGGAGTCCTGCGCCGCGGAATTGAAGCGAACGTTCCTCAACCACCACCGTCGGCAGCGAGCGGAGGACCTTCTCCAAACAAGGGTGCAGGGCCCCAACGAAAGCATGACCAGCTTCGTAGAGGATGTCATGCGCCTATGTGCCCGAGCCGATCCGGAGGCGGCCGATGAGAAGAAGCTTCGCGTCCTCATGCGTGGCGTGAAGGCTGAAATTTTTGGGGGCCTTATCCGCCATCCCCCGACAACCGTCGACGGTTTTGTGGCTGAAGCCACTAACATCGAGCGAGCGCTGTCGGCCCGAGCAAGCCATTACCATCGACTCGCCGGCGTGCCTGCTCCTCGAACCGCCGCATCTTGCCGACTAGACCTGAACGCCACCGGTGTCGACGGCCTTCGGGAAATCGTCCGCGACATCGTCCGGGAGGAGCTCCGCAAGCTTCTGCCTGCTGCCAACCAGCCGGCTGAGCTGTCGATCGCCGAAGTGGTGCACGAAGAAGTCCAGCGAGCAATTCAACCGGAGGCTCCTGCCTGCGTAGCACCACCCGAAGAGCCCGCCCTGACCTACGCCGCAGTGGCCCGACGGCCACCGCCGCCTCGCCGCACCTATGTCACGCCGCCCCGACGTCAGTCTCCTGCGCCGCAGCACGACCGACGCCACGACGACCAGGTCCAGTACGCCTGCCCGGAGCCTCGCGCACCCCGCAAGACCGACGTGTGGCGAACGCCCGACCGACGCCCTCTGTGCTTCCATTGCGGGGAAGCGGACCACACCTACCGCCGATGCCCATACCGACGACTCGGACTACGCGGGTTCCACCCGAGCGACCCGCGCCCCCGGTATGGTGAACGCCCTCGGGAGATCGACGAGTACCTGCGACGACCCCAGTCCCCCGAGCCTGCGTCCCGCCGAGAGTTCCGGTCGCCGTCACCGCGACGTCCAGCTTCGCCGATGCACCGACCGCGACGTGAAAGCCTGTCCCCCCTCGCTCCTCGCCGGGGAAACTAGGCGCGGCAACCCCTGGAGGTGGAGTTGTTGAAGACGACCGACGCCAAGATCCTCCACGAACGTCGGTGGGCCCCCACTCGAACGCTACCAGAGACCAAAACGACGCCGCTGCAGTGGTGTCCAATAACCTAAACGTCGTCATCGACGGCCACGACGCATCTGCACTCGTGGACACCGGAGCAGACTACTCAGTCTTGAGTGGGAGGCTCTCTCGCCGCCTTCGAAAAGTCATGACGCCGTGGGATGGACCACAAATAAGAACCGCCGGAGGACACCTGATTACACCAGTCGGGAGATGCACCGCTCGCGTCGAGATTCACGGCAAAACATGCCCTGTGAAGTTCGTCGTTTTGCAAGACTGTTCGAGGGACGTCATTCTCGGAATGGACTTCCTGTGTGAATACGGCGCCATCATCAACCTTGCGGAGAACAAGCTGACGCTTCGGAAGCCTGCCCCATCGGTGGAAAATACCAAACCGACGTTAGCTGCAGTGCGAGTCCTCGCCAGCCACGTAAACCTGCCGCCGCTGTCGAGTGTCTTTGTGCCCGTCGGGACCGAAGGAGCCACCTGCGGTGTAGCACTGCTGGAAGGAAGCGTCCAACTTCTCCTCGGACGAGGGATTGGCATTGCAAGAGGCGTAACTGAGCTCCAGGACGGGCGTACAGTAGCCCTTGTCACCAATTTCCGGCAAGAGTCGCAGCACCTTACAAAGGGTACAACTGTGGGCTACGTCGAGGAAATTGAAGACTCAGCCGCGATCGCCGTGATCTCAGAAGACGCCTCTCCGACGCAGAACAAGACAATCACGTCCTCAGAGCTCGACATCGACCCATCCCTCCCAGCCCCACAACGACGACAACTTCGTGACCTTCTCGCCGAGTTCAGTGAGTGCTTCTCCACGTTGTCGAAAGTGCGCCAAACGACGGTTGCGAAACATCGGATAATTACTGATGACGACGCACTCCCTGTGCATCGGCCGCCGTACAGGGTCTCCGTGAAAGAAAGGGAAGCCATCCAGCAGCAGGTACAAGAAATGCTTGACGACGACATTATCCAGCCCTCAAGGAGTCCGTGGGCTTCACCGGTAGTCCTGGTGAAAAAGAAAGACGGGACTCTTCGGTTCTGCGTGGACTATCGCCGACTGAACGCCGTAACAAAAAAGGACGTCTACCCACTGCCACGCATCGACGACACCCTGGACCGACTACGCCACGCCCGATACTTTTCGTCGATGGACTTGAAGAGCGGGTACTGGCAGATTGAGGTCGACGAACGAGATCGTGAGAAGACGGCCTTCGTCACGCCGGACGGACTGTATGAGTTTAAAGTAATGCCGTTCGGGCTGTGCACAGCGCCGGC